TTAATATTTATAGTATTAAATTTTTCTAAGGGATAATTGTTGAATACGTTGGGATATACGTACAATAATTATTTAAAAACAATGTACTTGATTACAAATTTTTGATCGATTTAAAAATATTTATTTTCAAATATTTGAAAATATATATATTATGCCAAATATTTAAAAATATTAGTACTTTAATATGTAAAATATTAGGTTATTAATAATCTCAACATACGCTAATCGTTATGTTCGCGTTGTCCGCAACTTCAAAAATGATTTAATCGCGCGCAGAAGAAACGCCTGTCAGGACCCTAAAGAGATACATTAAACTCGTAGGTATTTCGTGCTACATAGAATGCAGTAATGACAAAATCAGCCGTACCTTATGCGATCTAGAACAAAACATTGGCATACGTAGCGGGGATTCACGAACCGCGCGCCATATGGCGGAAGATTTCCGTGCAGGAAACTCGCTAGGGTCCGCGAAATTAGCCGCAGATACCCGGGATTTCGCTTGCATAAGCGACGTCGCAAAAACTCAGAATTCGCGAGAAGGATGGCTCGCGTGAGGTGGGGGAATTATAGCGACAGATTTGCAAGTGGGTGGTATACAAGTGTACAGGAGCGGATGTTGATTTTCGAAGCTATCAGTCCATGAAAAATTCGTAACAGGAATGTGATTAAGCGAGCACATGCTTAGAAGAAAATGAATCCTTCGCATTTTCTTGTGCAATATATAACTTAAAAAACTGATTCGTATATTTTTGAAAATTTGAAAAGAAGTACAGCAAATCAGAGGTAGGAAGTTTTCAAAGTTTAAAGGTAATAATTCTCTGGAGTTCTCAATAGAAACTAACTAGTTAAATAAGGAAATATTAAAGAGAATATATCTCTCCTCATTTTACGCAATAGCTTTAAAAAATTACTAAATAGCTACTTATACGAAATATCCTCCTACGAAATAGTCTTTTGTTAATTTTGTTCCAAGTTTCGCCCTAAAAGCGTAAATTTCAGCAGTTTTCGCATAAATCCGTCCCTGTAACTATGCCGCTGTAACTATGGAATATGACACGGGAGAAAGGGATACGAAACAGCAAAGAGGGAGGCAGAGTGAGGGGCGGAGTAGCGAGAAAAGAGAGGAGAAGCGGGTAGTAAGGCTCTTGCAAAACATACGCGGCTGAATCTGACACATCCTCTAGCAGTCTGTTGGGTTTTCCAGGATGGCGAGGGGGCCGTACAAATCTAGACGGTTACTTACTGACACACACAGCATTTTGCTATCCGTACCGAACTTTCTCTCGCTTGCGCTCGCGCCCGCGGTAGTGTAACCTCCGCGCCAACCTCTCTTCCTCCGCGGCTCACTACCTCTCATCTCCACTCTCTCGACAGTATTGTATTGTATTAAAGCCGCGGCTCGTGTTGCGGCTTGACAAAAGCAGGCGCACGACCTACCCCGGGTGCGCACTCCGGTCTCCTCCGTCCTTCCCCCCTGCCCCCCCCCCTCCATTCCTCCCCGCTCGTAATTCCACCCGCCGCTCTGCACGCGCCCAGCACCCCCGGTGGTGCCGCAGAGTCCAGAACACGCTGTATTATTCACGGAGTAATTTAAACCGCAAATGACAGATATCCTAAATGTCCTTTCTGGCCGGCCGTCCGATCGACCATTCGGATCCAACCAGGCTTGGCTCCTGTCATCTTGTCATGCGCGACAGCCGCAACAGGCGGATTAACGCTCGCACGAAGCTCGCGGAAAATATGTAACGGTATAAATACGAGCGAGCTCGTGATCGTCACGGGACCAGTCGAATTTAATTTTCATACGCAGATAATTCTCGATACATTAATATCGTGGATTTAAGTATACTTCGTGAAATCGTTTTAAGCACATTATCATATGTATTATAAGTAAAATATATTTCCTGCACATGTTTTAATATTCCTATATCTGCGCACGAAACACCATTACATTTATATAAAATTACACTTTTAAATGAGATAAAATGTTCAACAATATTTCATGTCACGGTAGTAATGCAAGCAATGTAATAAATTACACGTACGCCCTTCTCTTTCAAGAATGAGAGGAAAAATTGGAGAAAGATTTTAGAAAGAAGATTAAAAAATTGAAATAGAAAATTATAATGGATAACAATAGGTAACTTTTAATCGCTCCAATTACAGAATGAAAGACATGTTGAAAGTATCCACTTTTCTGCCCGATGATTTGGCAAACTTAGTTCTCATCACCTTCGCTCATTCCTGTCCTGTCCTCAAGTTTCAAGATGAACCTCAACCGCGACTCCATCAAAAGTGCTTTCAACCCTTATCAGACGCATCTGACTCTGACACGTGATTTGAATTTGCCGCCTACCATGCGGTGTCAGCGGTCCTCTTTAAAGTTATACTGTAGCTTTATCAGAAATTCACTTCTCAGGAAATATATGCGAAATAATAATATTCTCAAACGCGTAAAAACGGACGTAAGACATAAGACGTGATAAGACACAGATATTTATTAAACACTAAACACTTCGTAAAAAATTAAGGCAATTTTGGCAAAGTGCACGTTACGTAACGAACGTAAACTAACAATTTGGACGTTGACAAAAGATATAAGCAGAAGTATGTAACCATTCACAGCGCGTGATATGAAAACATGCCCGGTGGAATAATTTCAAAAAGCGTCCCCCCGTGAAAATTATTCTTAGCAAATTTCGCGCGTAGCTCATCCTGAAAAGCAACTTTTCGCGACTTTTCCGGTAGACAACGTTTCACGATGCGCCATTCTTAGCTTTTACATCAGAGCGACATGCACCGCGGCTTGAATTAACGAGAGGCTTTTCGTATCTCGGCGTTATTACAGCTCTAAGTAATGCGCCGTGCTTAAACCCGTATTTACGACGGCCGTGTAAAAACCTTTTGTCTTCGGGCCGAAATATTTCTCTTTCGTCGATCGATAGCGCAACATCAGAAATTTTTAATTTATGTTCCTCCTGCAACCACAGAGACGCTCAAGCAATCGCGTACGATTTTATTTGGCCTATAAAGCTGCCAAACGACGTAAAAAAGAAACGATGAGAACTTTTTATCGTGTTTCTAAATTTATCAAAAACATCCGTTGCGACCAAAGCTTTGCAAATGAATAAACAAAAACTTGTTTTTAAGAAACATTTTATGTATAAACATATTATTATATTTTTTACTTACAACTTTGTTGACATCATTCCAATGTTGCTGAACACTTCATCTCGTTTAAAAATTTAATTTTAAAGTGCAAACTACTTTAAAATCTTTTCCATAAGTTAGCTTTCATAAACCATATACAAAATATATCTTTTTTTCTTTCCACAGTAAGCTACAGAATATTATAGATTTAAATAGATTAAACAATAAACAAATTTAATTAAATATAACTCAAAAGAGTTTATCGAAAACATTCGCAAGATATTATAGATTATATAGATTGTATGATAAAAAATAATTAAATATAAGCTTATTATTCAAAATAAATATACATTTAAAAAAAAAATAATTTTCCTTCTCAAGATGGAGCATCGATATTTCTTCGTTTCTTTTATCGGAAATACTTGTAAGATATTGTAGACTGTAAATTTTGTAAAGATTGTACTATAAAAGAATTAATTAAATATAAGCTTATTAATTAAGAATAACTAAAAATAATAAGTAAGCTTCTTCCAAAAATTTTCTTTTAAAATGGAGCACCGATATTTCTTTGTTTCCACCAACAGTATTATCTTTTACGCTCAACTTAGGACCTATTCTCCTTGTAACGAGAAGAGAAAGGGCGAGTCATATGTCGAAGGTAATGGTGCGTCAGTGAGTGATTTGTCTCCACCCAGCTATTTTTCCACGCGTTTATATTTTTTCGTCTACTACACCTCCTTTCCGTCTCTCTTGCATGTAATGTTTGAATATTTTATATCTTGAAAAAAGACACGTACCATCCCACAATATTAATGCTGCACAGAAAGAACGGTTTTGCTAAAATATCTAAAGATTTAGCTAGACACAGATCTGAAAATAGTTTTGTTGGACCAAAATAATTATGTATGATGCTCAAGCTGGTTGTCCGAAATGCCAAAACTTTTCGCTGTGCTCGTCATCTTCATAATGCTTGAGTATCCCACATAATTATAATATTTTGATATGTATATCCTATAAAATCATTTTCAGAGTTGTATCTAACTTAATTTTGAAATACTTTAGCCATCAAAATCATTTTTTCCTCGACAGAAATCCAATTTAATATTAAAAATTACTTACTTTGAGTATTACAAGCACTATTGTTCAATACTTTTAATACTCAAAATAAATAATTAATAATTAATTTCAGTATAAAATTTCTGTGAGGGCCGTATATGCACATCGTAGTGGTCCGTATTAATTTTTTATAAAGATAACAGCTACATCAAGTGTTATTATATTCAGAACTAATAATATACAAAATACAGTAAGAAATTAAATTCATGTTGCAATTAAAAGAAGCAACAGTAATTAACTCACACTTTATTAAAAAAACGGAAAAAACTTCTAAAGTAGTGGAAAAATATATTTCTATCAATATCACATATTCAGCTACGTTACGAATTAGCCCAGTTTTCTTGCAGAAAACCTTTCAATTATATAGATAAACTTTCGTTTTGTAAAAAATCACATTAATAAGTTCTATTATCGTGTCTGTAAATTCTATTATTGATTTGGCTAGCATACTTTGTTAAATCGATAACTTTATGTTTTTCTATTATATGTATCTCAAATACATATATATCTTCAATTATTATTTGTTCTTTGTTGGACTTTTATCACGTCGCAATGAGGCGGCGTTTCCAACGCTGATTAACGTAGATAATCAAATTATAACGATGTCCGATTATCCCTACTCTCATTGGGAGATAACTAATATGGTTATATACCTCGAAATCTACCACTCCAATGAATGCCGCCTTTGTATTCTCGACGAATATAAAAATAGGGTCCGCGCGCCACACGAGGCCTGAATTATTTCTTCCGCAAAGCTGAGTGAGAAGCACCCGACCAATGGACATCCCGTTCACTTATTTACCGTGGCCCCAAGCAAACTGATCGTGGAACATGTATTGAATTTTTCATAAGGACCGCCTCGTCTTTTTTCCGTCGCTCGGGTTCTTTTTAAAAATTCCTGCGCGCGAGACCGGTAGCCTCGATTCTTGCCTGAAAGATTGAACGGCCGTTTCGCATCCGCGAACGAAAGTGTTCTGTGCCCAAAATGCGCGTCGTGACACTCGTATTGCTATCAATTTCGCTATTCTGTACTATCCAACACGGCCGCGGATACAACATCCTGGGTATTTGCCCAAGCGCAAGTTACAGCCACCAACAATCCTTTCAAGCATTGATGAAAGCATTGGCGTCTCGTGGTCATAAGGTTACCGTTTTATCAACAGTTCCCCTAAAGGTGAGTAAATTTTTTCCTCATACTTTTTTTCGCTCTGATTCTTCGCCTTCATTGCGGCTGACACGCCGTCGTTTACCTAAATTATATCACAATCTCTTAAATAAAAATTTATTGCACAAAGATATTAATTTTCACGGAATATTATAGATGTAATATAAAAGCTAAGACGTTCCATTTTTTTATACAAAATAACTGGAGATTTTTGCACACAGCAATTTTTATTTTAAATTTATTAAATTACATCGAAATAATGTACATGACTTAAAAAAACATTGGCGTTAATTACGTTCAAATCTTTGCTATTGCAAAATTAATTTGTTCACCCTTTTTATCTCACCCGGTATCGTTACGATTCAACGCCTGTATCGTCGCTTCAGAGAATTACCACCAAACAAAGCCGCCTTGTGCTCACTAAGGACTCAAGGCGTTACACTGTTCACAGTTATTTTCGCTTAGTCTCGATAAGCTTTTGCGACTTTAACCGCATTCCGGATATTTTTTGGAGATTTAACAGTCTGTTTAAATATATATATTGCCAAAATCAAAACTAATACGACAACCAAATCCGTTATTGATATTTCTTTTATTCAATTTTTCCCTCTCAAATAGAAATTGTTATACAAGATAAATTTTAATTTATAATAACGGAGAATTTTTATGCAGACTGATAAATAAGATATTTGAGTTGGTGACTCTTTTTTTAAGCTTCTTTTCTTTTAACATTTCACTTTCTCCATTTCTACACGCTTTTTCTCTGACATTCTTTTCTCAGGTCCTCTCAGATCGTTCGCCCTGACATCTCACTCCTTTCCATCTACTGTCTCGCGTAATCCTTCCCTCGCTTCTTCCTTTCGCCATCTCTCTCTCTCCCTCCCCCCTCTCTCTCTCTCTCTCTCTCTCTCTCTCTCTCTCTCTCTCTCTCTCTTTCTAAACTCGAGTTCAAAGTTACGCAAACTTCGTTTAGCTTCAATTTACTTCTACTAACATTTCTCTTTGCTGAATGTGTCTTCTCACGGCTTGATGGTCCTGTTTCTTTCGCGGCAAAATTAGAGATTAAATTGTTCACGTAAACTGGATAAAACCTAACTAACGAAAACATAATTGCCTTGCACACAAACTATCGCTGTACTTTATTGCTTTTTCCCTTAAATTCGCAACAATTACTGATTCACCATTTGAATATCTTTTTTATACTGATTCGTCTTATAATATTTAAAAGTGACTTTACATAGGAGGAACGATGTTGCTAAAAGATTTAAAATTTAGCTAGATACAAATCTGAGAATAATTTTGTTGGACCATCAAAATAATTATGTAGAAACTCAGATGAATACAATGCTATAAAAAAGTATAAAGTAATATAAAAGTATTCGAAAAAAATTACTATTTTGTTGAAAGATTCTAAAAAGCTAGATATAACTAGATCTGAAAATAATTTATGTAATATGTACAATAAGAGAAAAAATGCTTAGGTACATTTATTATAATGCTACAAAAACTATAACATATAATCATTTTCGACGCCAACTATATATTTGTTTGGTAAAACTATAAATATAATTATTATTACTAAAATTATAGGAGTAATAACTATAAAAATGGGACACCTAACCATAATTTTTATTTATTCTTAACTAATAAACTTATATTTAATTAATTCTTTTTTTATGGTACAATCTTTACAATATTTACAGTCTATAATATCTTGCAAGTATTTCCGATTAAGGAAAACGAAGAAATATCGATGCTCCATCTTGAGAAGAAAAATTATTGTTTTTAAAAATTTATTTATTTTAAATAATAATATTTTAAATAATATATTTAATTATTTTTTATTATACAATCTATATAATCTATAATATCACTCACCCGCAAAAAAACCGGACCACTAAATTATAGCTCAAATTTTTAATATCTTTCAATAGAGGTAACTCTATGAAAAATCATCGTATTGAGATGAACCTAAGCTCAAATTAAAGCTCGACCATTCCCCTTGATAACTAAGAAAATCAAAATTGAGTTCCACAAATGCTTTATAAAATAGCGGACATTGAAGATAAACTTAGAAAAATAGGAAAAAAAATTTTTTCTTTGAACTATTCCGCTGGTCAGGGAAGTCAGCTGCCTAGCATAAAATTTATAAGTTTTGAAGTTCATTGATTTTCTAACAAATCCATTTTTTGATCACTTTTGTACGATTTTTTTGACAAAGTTATAGTGTTTTAAAAAAAGCGTTACAAAACGGGCTATTTTTTATTGTGATCAGCTATGAGTCCAGATATGAATCCTATGGAGCATTTATAGGATATGTTAAAACGAAAAGTTAGAAAACATAATACTCAAACTTTAAAACACTCCGCCACAAAAGAGAAATAAAATAATTTAGAACAAGAAACAATTAGACACTTGATTAACAATATGTCCAAACGAATACACGAATTAATAAATGCGAGATAAGGCAATAGTCAATACACATTACTAAGCACGCGCGCGCGCGCGCGCGCACACACACACATGGGATCAAATTCCTGCCACGACCCGCTGTTGACCACGCAGATTACGCCGAGAGCAGAATACACACGTGCATAAGTACACGCACGCACTTACATGAGATTAAAAAGGGTTTGATTTTTAAAAATTTTTTAAATTTGAAGTTTACATTTTAATTTCTTTTTTTATAAAGTTTCCTACAATAATTTGTTTATGAGTTATATTGAGTGGGCAACAAAAAAATGACACGTTTTTTTAAAACACTATGACAAAACTTTGTCAAACTGTGACGAAACTTTGTCAAAAAAATCGTAGAAAAATGATCAAAAAATGAATTTATTAGGAAATCAATTAGCTTAAAAACTTATAAATTTTTATGCGGGGTAGCCGACTTTCCTGACCAGAACAATAGTTCAAAGAAAAATTTTTTTTCCTATTTTTCTAAGTCTGTCTTCTACGTCCGCTATTTTATAAAGCATTTCTAAGACTCAATTTTGATTTTCTTAGTTATCAAGGGGAATGTTCAAGCTTTAATTTGAACTTGGATTCATCTCAATATGATGATTTTTCATAGAGTTACCGCTATTGAAAGATATTAAAAATTTGAACTAAAATTTAGTGGCCCGATTTTTTTGCGGGTGAGTATATACATATATATATTTATTGCACTTACTTAAAATCTTTCATGTTCATAATTGATACTTTAAAAAATTATTTCTTTTATAGAATCCTCCATCAAATTACGAGAACGTTGACTTGTCATTTTCGTATATAAGCAAGGATTGCACAGGATTAAGGTATACATTTATCACGTTTTGTAAATCAATACAAGTGGATTATTTTATATCTAAACAATATTTAATATTTTTAAATATTATCTTTGACAGACATGTGGGAGCCTACGCGATTCTCCATCAAAATTTGTGGGGAGCCAATCTCATATGCAGACATCAATTATTCAGTCCTGCTATTGACAAGCTTATAGCGTAACTTTAACAGCGATTAACCTTAATTCGGAAACTTTAACCATTTCTATTTTTATTCTTGACCTACATAGAAAGAATGGTTTTGCCGAAGTACCTAAAAATTGAGCGAGATACAGATCTGAAAATAATTTTGTTGAGTTATCATCTTTTTGCAGCATTATTTATCATGCTTGAGTGTCCTGCATAATTAATTTGATGATCCAACGAAATTATTTGCAGAATTGTATCTCGCTAAATTTTTAGGTATTTCAACAAAACCAATTTCTCCAAGTATAAATAAATTTTAATACATAATTAAGCACAATAATAAATAACAGTAATAATTAAGCACAAATTATTCAAGAATCTTATTACCAAATATTAAATAAATCAAAATGTTAATAATCGCAGATTACATTGCAAGAGACACTACAATATAAATTAACAACGCATTTCCACAGAGTCCGCTCCACAGAGTCAATATGGAAACGAAAATTGCGACGACTTTAATAGTCTTACGAATAACACGCTAAAACAAATCCAATTCGAATTTACTTGTTACAGGAGCAACAAGACATTCGACGGGATCATTATAGAGCAATTATGGTTCCAATGTTATTACGCCCTCGTAAAACACTACAACTTCCCCGTGCTGATTGGATTTTTAAGCGTGGGCAACTTGCCCTACGTAATGGATTCCGTAGGTGAGCATGCCGTGCATGCCGTGCATGCTCTCGCGATCTCGTGATTTTGTCGGCCTAGCAATTTTATTGTTTGCAAAAGTCACTCGACGCAGGTAACAACTACAGGAAGCGCGAGCCTGTGGTCGGGACGGTCGTTCCGCAATGTCTTTCCGCTGGGTTCGCACCCACCTAAGTTGGCATCGGCAACGAACGTCGTTACTGCGCGCGGAAATTGACGTAAATTGTCGTTAAAGCAGAAAGTGCGAGCAATCGGAGACCGGGGGTCTTCGTGGAAAAGGATAGATTACTCGGTAGTGCTTTAACTTGTACCGGTCCGACCCGAAGAGCGTCGGAGAAAAGGTGGCGAGGGACGACGCGCCGGCTCGCCGCCATTCGATTCCTTTACCTCGACGTAATTGAAGATACCCGAAAGTACTCTTCCGGATGAACGTAATAGACCGTGAAATGGATCGCTGTGGCTGCTACTGAAATATTTCAATTAAAGCCGGGGCGAATTTTGCGAAAAGGCGGACCGCGTATCGAAGTGGTAACGTTCCCCCCATCGATCTGACCCAATCACCAAGTTGAGAGTTTTCGAAGAAGTAGATATCCGACTGTAACACATCGCTTTTTTCTCTTGACCTGCAAGAAAATTTATCGTGTAATAACTCGTTTCTTTACTCCGGACAAAAACAATAAAAAAGGAGTAGTTATAAAGCAAATTTAAGGAACTCGCGTTGTACAACAGAGAACCCTTACACGGAACGGGTTTATTAAAATATTTAAAAATTTATTAGCTAAATACAGATCTGAAAATAATTTATTAAACTATCAAAATAATTATGTAGAACGCTTAATCTGATTGCTAAAATGTCGAAATTTTTTGCATCATTACTCATCATACTTGAGTTTCCTACATAATTGTTTTGATAGTCCACAATTTATTTTCAAATCTATATCTAATTAAATTTTTAAATATTTCAACAAAATCTTTTTTTGCGTATATTTAATGTATTAACTCATAGTATCTATGAAAAATTCGAGACTGTTTCAAACTTCTTCCCGATTGAATATACCGCATTTTATAAGCGGCTGGTTTTCGAAACACTTTTTGTTCTTTATTTAAAAAATGTTATTAAATAGCTTATGGTTGACAGGAAATCCAGACGACCCTAACTTTAATCCCGACATGGCGTATCCATTCACGGACAAAATGACAATCAATGAGCGTATAATGAATATCCTTTACACAACATACACAAGATTATATTATCGATATTGGCATCTACCAAGAGCTCAACGCATGGCTAACGAACGGACACCTGGCACTTCCGTTTACGACATTGATAAAAATTTCAGTCTAGTGATCCTGGGCAACAATCACGTATTCGGTTATCCGAAGCCACTGCTGCCGCATGTGATTGAAGTTCACAGCTTGCATATTTCGGAAAACCCCGGTTCCTTGCCTAAAGTAAGCAATTACCAGATAAAAATATTTTAACAAAAATATATATATAGATTATATATAAATATGTTCCTATATATGTTTTCTTTCTTGAAAAATGTTTAGAAAAATAAATTATTTTTCCTTACAGTAAAATTGATATTATACATTATGTAATATAATATATGTATAATCATACATATAACTTTCATATAATTATTACATTTATATATAATTATATAATTATAGACATTTTTCCCATGTTTTAGACTTTATTTTTTATACAAGAAACAATTCAAAAATTATCTGTTTAATTATTTATTATTTCTTCTAATTATTTTCTTTTTTATGTATACAAACAGAATTATACAATAGAAAAAACATATATGATCATATTTTATATGTAATTATATATATATATATATATATATATTTAATTATTTATTTATATTATTTATATAAGTTTTATATAAAAAATTTGTTACTATGCAGATACTGTCGTAACTTACAGTTTCTTTTTTTTAAATTACCGTAATGTAAGTAATTTGGACATGTAACAAAAAATAGGTTTTGCAATTATTTAGTGTCAAAAAAAATAATAAATTTAAAATATCGAAGTTATTAAATGCACAATTGTATATAGGCACGGGATAATATTAACGACTATCTTCTAACAATAAGCCATTATTTTTATCTAGCCTTCAAGTTTCTTTTAATCATACATTTACAGTAATAAAAGACATTTAGATCATAAAATGAAATTAAACAATTTATCGAGTTAAATGACATTTTTCCTATTCGAGTTAGCGTCCGAGAGTTGATATTTTTACGTCGATTAAACCTTCGCTTCTCTCGTAGTTCTAAGTACGTCTCGGAAAGGCGAAATTGTGTGTCGTACGAGAATGATTTCTCTCGGGGAAATACATACCATTCTCACAGGTGACCAATAATAGTCAGTTGGTAGAAGTTTACCAACGACTCAGCGTAGCGACGTAAAGGTAAACGTCATTGCTATTTACCGCGAACCGTTCTAAGTCTCCCAAGGGCCGACAAGAAAAATATTATTGAAGGAGTATTTCGTTGAAGATCCTTCACATAGAAAAAATAACCGCGAAATCACCTCTACATAATATTACAATAGCCGTTTGCGTTTCTCGATGTCAATCTAGAAATACAGCGTTGAAAACGTTCATTTATGATTATTTAATTTTAAATATAGCTAGTTAAGTATATAATTTAGCTAATAATTATTTAATCATTAAAAAGTGCATTTTTCTTTTTTAATTTAAAACTGAAATTTTATATGTATTTTAATTAAAAATTAGAAATTTGATTAAACATTAGCCATACATTATTAATTTATATTTTGAATTCTATTAAGAGAAAAAGAAAGAGAGAGAGAGAAAGAGAAAAATTGATTGTACGAATTAAATTTGTATAGTTGTTTGATTCAACAATCCTTTAGTTTCACAAAAAAGGTATAGTTCATTCATGTCAACCATCAAAATTTTTTAATTAAGAATTAACTAAACCAACTCAGTTAAATTATTTTGTTTGAAATACTAAAGTATTTATTTGTGTTTGCATGCTATTTAGTTCCAAGTAATATATTTGTTTCAATTCCAAGTAAGTATCAAACTAACTAAACAATGCTGATATAGGGATAATAAATAGTGTGTATTTTTAATCAAACATTGCGTTAAATACGATACATTTTTGTTGAAACAAAATGGTTTAGTAAAGAAATAGTACTTTGTTTATAATAGTAATACATTATCTTGTGTCATTGCAGTAACGTTTAGTTGAACGTATCGAACTAAATATTTTGGTAAGATGAAACAAATTTTGTGTTTTTCAACACATTTTTTTTCTCAGTGAATATATATATGTATATATATATATATATATATATATATACATAGTATGTATATAAAGCATTTATTACTGTCTAGGGAAAGCCCTTTAAAAACAAAATTACAGAAAAAAAATTAAACATACTTGAATGTAAAAAAACATATTTTTAAAAAATAAAAGAAATAAAAAAATAAGAGAGAAGAAATGAAATACATAAACATATCGATAAGCATATTTATAAAATAAAAGAAATAAGAGAGAAACAGTGAAATGAATAATTTAACTGACAAATTTATAACAAAATAATTATATAAAATAATTGTAAGAATTATAATTTGATATAAAGATAGAAGTTGTTAAACGTTTTATATAGTCGCCTCTTAATTCTATTAAAGTTTTTGTTATAAATTTATCTATTTACTACTACGAAGATTCGCAAAGATAACTTAACTGCAGTTACCACGCGATCCCGATGTCGAGAACGGAACGTGACCGCGGCAATGTGTGATCGTCTTTATACACATACACCAGAATGTATCGAAATCCATGAACAGTTGTAATTAATAGGGCAAAGCCTTCGGCTACACATTGTGCATATGGAACCACCATCGCTGTGTCCGCCATAAAAGCTAGCGCAGGTTTCGCAATTAACAAAGGAAGTTACATTATCAGTAATATCAGTCGATTAATAGCACAATCCGTTCCATTTGTGTCCTATCGCAGCAGTTGCTAATACAATTTTGAAAATACAAAAGTTATGTAATGAATAAATGTATTTTATAAAACAATAGTGCATAATATGCGACAACATTCAATTATTGCAACTGCAATAAAATACGTGATTTATTATAACCCAGGCAACACAAAGTATTATACAAAATCGGAACACAAGTCATCTTTAAGATGTCTTTTACATATATAAGAAATTTCTCGCAAAAATGTCTTTAAGGGGATACTTTGACCAGACTGAAAAATAAAGATTTTTTGAGCTTGGATTGCAGGAAAAGTATGAATACGATCCACTTGTAATTTGGTACTTTATTAATACATATATTAAACTTGTTATGTTTCAAATTTTATTGAAAAATATTAATTTCTCAAGAAAATACAGCAATCCGAGTAAAACATGCACTTTTAAACGGTGTACATGATTCCGCTATTTTGGTTAGTCTGAAACAAAAAATCGAAATAGTTTTATAAATTAAAATGTACTCCCTATCGCGTGACCGACGATTTTGTTGATAACATTTTCAGTTTTCAAAATATAATAACATTTATAATTAATGTCAAAAATTTAAACATGTTTATTTCCGTCAATTTTCAAAAAAATAAAATTAATCGGTCACGCGATAGGGAGTACATTTTAATTTATAAAACTATTTCGATTTTTTGTTTCAGAATAACCAAAATGGCGAAATCATTTAAATCATTTTTTGTGCACGTTTTACGGATTGCTACATTTCCCCGAGAGATTAATATTTTTTCAATCAAATTTGGAATATAACAAATTTAATATATGTATTAATAAAATGCCAAATTACAAGTGGATCATATTTATACTTTTCCCGCAATCCAAGCTCAAAAAATCTTTCAAAATATCCTGCCCCCTTAAAATATTATGTCTATTAAGATATTATACTTCGAATTTAAACTTCGTGTTATCTGGGAAGTACAAGCTGTGCTCTTTATGTGTTAAATTTTATTGTCTTTAATTGCATTATTTAAAAATCATTTTACTGAATAGAAGAGTTATGTTTATATTTTAATACAAAATTTATTAGTAATTTTGAAATTACGAACATTATTATTCTATTCAAGTATGTAACGTTGTAAAATATTTTTAAACTTCTTTACATACACGTGTCGCTTATCGTTAGATAAGACTTAGGCCAAAATACATCGGCGCGTATCTATATCATTATATCTGTCACACTTCTGAATTCTCATTAAACGCAATTTTCACTATTGTATCAGGATATTCGCGAATTTCTGGACAACGCTCAGGACGGTGCTATTTATTTCTCTCTGGGCTCAAATCTGCAAACTGACCAACTACCCGCTGGACCTTTGACCGCATTGTGCAACGCCCTAGGCTCGCTGAAGCAAAGAGTTCTATGGAAACATGACGGTAACATGGCTATTCATCCGACCAACATCAAATTTGTGAAGTGGGTGCCTCAACAAGCGGTCCTCGGTAAGGCTGCCCAAGGCTAAACTGACCAACTCTTTACCTCGTTCCCTTCGGAAAGAAGCGGATCAACCGCCGCGAGATATGCACTTACAAAACGGTTCGATGAGAAGCATTCCATGCTGGAATTTCTTTGTGCTTGAAGATAGGGAATCGATAAAATTATAAAAAGGATAGACCGTGCAAGAAAGAAAGAGAGAGAGAGAATTTACTTCACAATCTTATTTCAATTTTATGTAGCTATATTATGACCCTTATATATAAGTTAAAAAATTATGATATTCTGACAACTAGTTTGAGCAACAATTATTTTGATAATCAATAAAATTATTTTCAGATCTGTATTCAGCTAAACAGAATCTTTCAACAAAATCTTTCTTTTCATATATGAAACATATATAAATACGACTTTTTTTGGGACACTCTGTATACACGGAAAAATTTTGCTGAAGGTATTAAAATTTAGCTCTCATATATAAAAAGAAAGATTTTGTTGAAAGATTCTGTTTAGCTGAATACAGATCTGAAAATAATTTTATTGATTATCAAAATAATTGTTGCTCGAACTAATTGTCAGAAGATCATAATTTTTTGCAGCATTGCTCATCAATATTGAATTTCTAACATAATTATTTTAACGATCCAACAAAGTTATTTTCAGATCTAAATCCAGCTAAATTTTAATACCTTCAGCAAAATTTTTCCGTGTATACAGAGTGTCCCAAAAAAAGTCGTATATCCTTTCACTAGCAGATTCTGGGGAGCATTCTAAGACAAAAACTCTTATACAAAAATGTCGAGGCTATAATACTTTTCAAATTATAAACGATTAAAGTTATCCTTTTACGGCATCTGAAATTCGCGCGCTCAGACATGGTATATCGCACGCGAGAACGTGGGGTGTTCTTGTCCATGACTCACATTTAAATATTGACATAATTGATGCGCTTATCTCAAAAATATCTAATTATCGAAATTGAGTTTCTTATTTAAAAACATTAACGATTTTAGTAATGAAGTTAATAACGTTTTAAGTTTAAAAACCGAATTTTGGTAGTTAGATTACTTTTGCTGCAAGCGTCTCAATATTTTTCACAATGACAAAGAGATCGCTTTTAAGCTTTGTCTCGTTTATTTGTGATTGTAATTTTTAATATCAGTATAATATTGCGGAATATCAATGAATAAACGTAAGATAAGAGAAATGGTATTAATTGTAAAAATAATGAAATTTACAGGAAAAATAAGAGATAAGAGATACGTATAAGATTCATTATACATATAGGGTAAACCCGGTATATACGCCGCGCGAGGATTTACGCCACAAAAGTAAAAAAAATAGAAGAAGTGAAACTAATTTTTTCGCAATCACATTGTTACATGTCTTTATGTTATATTAGTATTGTATTGTGATTTCAGTTTTTTACTATTAATATTTATAAAATTATTGTAAGTTAAATCGATTAATCACTGCAATAAGCGCAATCATAAGTTATAATCTACATAAAATAATTATTGTAAGAAATGTAAAAGGCTTCGTGGTTATTTCGTGGTATATAAGTAAAAGATTAGTAAAGGAGTATAGCAAAATACAAGTGCTTAGTTCTTGTATTCTTTGTTTAGTTTATTGTCTTGTATATCCCATCTGTTTGGGATATGCGGCATTTTTAGCGCGTGGGATTTATGCCGTAGCATAGACGTTGTATTATTTATTTATAAATATAAACTTATTTATAAATTAAAAGTAAATAATAATACGTGATAATATGTCCTTTACAATACATTAATCATAACATTCATGTATGTATATATGTACTTATATATGTACTTATTCATAATCTGTAATAATACGTTCTTTATTTATTTATTAATGAGTAAATGCAAATTACTTTGTCAATTCACGTGTTATTCACTATTATT